TCTATGGCAAAAAAAAAAAAAGAAGAAGAGACCTACATCCACCCAACCAAACCCCCACCCCCCTCCTTCCTTGCCCCCACCGCTTTACTATGAATAATAAACTAGCGTATCGCACGTTACCGTAAATTATGCCCTTGGGATTGAAAAGCGACATGGCGTGTTTCCCCCCCAAAAAATGCAACTTAACTCACTTTAATTTACACGCCAATTAAAAAATATGATTTACGAGTGCATTTAATAGAAAATCTTTTAATTGCGCACCCGATAAATATTAAAAAATGGAACTCGACTCTTTTATTAAATTCAATGTTACTAATGGCCCTATTCTGCCGCGGAAAATATACAGCAATAGATTTCTTCTTTTTTTTTTTTAAGTAACATTTTTACACTTTGAGCATGAATAATAATTTTTTTTTTTTTTTTTGACTGTGCTTCAAAAGATAAGTGTGAAATAAAATTAAATCAAGTTTTCGTTGATAATTTTTGCGAACTTAATTTTAATAATAAAACTATGTTTCATTATGTTCAAAAGGTGATAAAGACAATTTGAATTTAAAATAAAATTATTATTTTAAAAGTTTAATAATTTAATAGCTGACGGATCGGAAAAGTATGAATGTGCGACGAATTCCAAATAACACCTCAGTTGCAGGTGGCGCTACTAGTTATGTAAACCTATATGTTCTGTATAAAATAGCCGGCAATAGCATAATGACTTCTGTCAGTTTAGTTCGTTGAGTTGTTAATTAGACCATTTTTCGTATATAATTTCATTGATTTAAGATATTATTTACTAAAATGACAAAAACTAATAAAAATAATGAATTTGTTGAAATACAAAAGAAAGGTGGACGGGATACGAATCTAACCCTGTCAAACAATAATAATATCTAATTTTATATAATTTAGAAACTCTATATCTTAAGGTCAGGTCCAAGTGAGGCAGCGCCATCTACATTGAAACTAAAATTTTCAACAGCCTTTTCTTGAAAACAAGATGGTAAAATGCTTTTTCCTTTATGGATAATTGATTATTGGCAAGATATACACCAGCTCAAACTTTTTTTAAGTTAAAATAATAAAAAAAATTTCATGTCGATAAATTAAATATGAGCACTTTTTCTCACAAAAACTGTAACAGTACTTTCTGAGAAATTACAATCAAAAATGCAATTTTCATTTGGAAAATTAATAAACGCTAAAAAATACACGACCTAAGATTTACTAATCACTAAAATAACAAAAAAAAGTATTTTAACATAACATATTTTACTCATTATGACAGACGTTTGGCAGGTTATATATGTCACCAGACGTTTCGCAGTTTTGCCGAAAGGAGGAGATTGGCGCTGTTGCTAACCACCTGAAATACATAATCTACCAAAGGGCTGTCACAATCAGTAAAGGAGTATCAATATGTTAAATATTTAATAAAATTTTTTTTTCTTATTTTCGTGATTGGTAAATCTTAGGTCGTGTATTTTTTAGCGTTTATTAATTTTCCAAATGGAAATTGCATTTTTGATTGTAATTTCTGAGAAAGTACTGTTACAGTTTTTGTGAAAAAATTGCTCATATTTAATTTATTGACATGAAATTTTTTTTATTATTTTAACTCAAAAAAAGTTTTAGCTAGTGTATATCTTGCCAATAATCAATTATCCATAAAGGAAAAAGCATTTTACCATCTTGTTTTCAAGAAAAGGCTGTTGAAAATTTTCCAAAATTTTAGTATCAATGTAGATGGCGCTGCCACACTTGGACCTGGCCTTAAGCACCAAAACTCTAATGAGGTATTTGATTTAATATTGCACGATGTATCTAAAACAAAAGTTTCTTACTTTCCTTGTGCGGATCATGATCTGGAAAATATTAACATGTATTACAAAAAAATATCTTAGCATCCGAATGAGACAATATATGCACAGCAAATTAAAAAGCTTTCAAAAAAATTGACATACAAAATTCAAAAAAAAAGCCCTAATAACACAAGATATCTTGGGATATATTGATAATATCCCGCAGATATCCTAGGGATGTCCTATGGATATCAAAAGGATCTCTTAAGGATATCAAAAAAATCGGCGGTTTGGATATCCTTTGGATATCTGAGGATATCCACAGGATATCTTCTGGATATCTATAGACTTTCATAAATGTCCTCCAGATATCCCATAGATATCGTCAGGATATCCCACAGATATCATCAGAATATCCCATAGATATCGTCAGGATATCCCATAGATATTTTCAGGATATTCTCAGTATATCTTCTGGATGTCAAGAAGATATTCTCAGGATACTGTTTTTAAAGTCATTATGAGACTACGAGTGAGAATATTCTGTGAATTAAATTTTATATAAGTAAAATAAAATGCAACATGTTTTTCGAGAAAGTTGTTTAATTTGAAAAATTATTAACTAATTTTTTTCTCATTCGTGATTTATTCCTTTATTCATATGCTTAATATTGTCAGAAAATAAATTGGCTTTAAACAATATAAATTCTTCCACGCAAATAAAGAATAACTATTAATATTAATTATACATTAAGTGCATGAGTTTATTTAAAAACTTTGAAAAATGCGTTTCAAATCTTCATTTAAAATAAATTAGAAGCTCATAAGATTTTTGTTTTTATTATATTATTATTCATTATATTAGCTTAACAATTTTAACCTTTAAAAATATATGTTGGGATATTAAATATCCTGTAAATATCCTAAGAATATCCCACGGACATCCTGAAGATATCTCATGGATATCCTGCGATATAATATCCAATAGATATTTTGTGGATGTCTTAGGGATATCCTGTGGATATCCTATGGATGTCCTGTTGATGTCCCACAGACCGGCGGTTTGGATATCCTATGGATATCCCAAGATATCCTGGGGACCATTCTAGGATATCGACCATTGATATGGATATCCTAGGGATATCCTTTTGTTATGAGGAAGCAGATGCACATTTGAATGAAAAAAGTACAACTTTATAATAAATTAGATTTTTCATAATTGAGGTTGGTTTTAATTTTTTCATCTATACAATTTAACCTATATATTTTAATTGTAATATATTATTATAAATACAGTATAAAATACTTATTATGTTGAAAATTAGAGTAAGGGAGGTTTCATTTATGAATGTTTGAATATTGTGTATATTTTTTGGTAAAAATGTTGATTAGTATTGTATTACTGCGATGAGATAATTTTTCCATTTTGTGGTTTTTTTATTTAGATCATGTAAATACTCCTTTGTATGATCTCATGTGATTTATAGCAAATAATTATCAATCACTAAATATACTAAAATTATAATGAATATAAGAAATCAATAATGTGTTTATATAATAATAGAATTAAAAATTCCTTTCAGATATATATCGAATTCAATTTTTTTATCCGAAGCCAATATAATGCTTTGAATAATTAAATAATTTTGAATTAAATCAATGTTCCATATTTTTTAACACTATAAATATTCTATAAAATTTTTAAAATAATTTTAAATGTTATTCATATGATAAATTTCACCTTATCCAATTTGATATAAAAGTGTATTTCAACAATTAATAAACTTATAAATTTTTATTACGTAAATAATTTGTAAAAATATGTGTAATTGTATTATTTTTTTTTCTATTAAAATTGACAAACTAAGGTTTAAGTTATGCTATTTTAAAATAATTATTAATTTTTTCAAATTTTGTATTGGAAATGTATAGAATTCAAGTTTACTTGACTACTAGAGCCACCTACTACTTACTCGTCACAAAATCGTCAGGAAAACTACAGTCAATGCATCGGGGTGTCCAAAGGGTCAATTAGGTAAATTTTTCCAGATCCCGTATTCCACATTCCGGAACCCTCTTTCAAAATTCCGTATTCGGGATCCCACATTCCGTATTCTACATTTTGTATTCCACATTCCGGATTCCACTCTTCACATTCTGTATTCCACATTCCGGATCCCACTTTCAAAATTCCAGATTCCACTGTCAAAATTCCGTATTCCACTTTTCACATACCATATTTTGGATTCCACTTCCAAAATTTTGGATTCCACATATCCCAAATTATGAAAGTGGGATCCGAAATGTGGAAAGTGGAATACGGAATGTGGAATATAGGATCCGGGATATCGAATTTTGAAAGCGGAATTCGGAATGTGAAAACAGATCCGGAATGTGAAAAGTGGAATCCGGAATATAGAATCCACTTTTTACATTCCGGATTCTACTTTTCACATTCCGGATTAAACTTTTTATATTCCGGGTTCGATATTTCGTATCCTACTTTTCAAATTCCGAATCCCACATTCCTGATTCCGCTTTTCACATTCCGGATTCCACTTTCAGAATGTGAGATGTGGAATCCAGAATGTGAAAAGCGTAATTCGAGACCGGAATGTGAAAAGTGGAATCCGGAATTTAAGAAGTGGAATACGGAATGTAGAATCCGGAATGTGAAAAGTGGAATTCTGAATGTGGGATCCGGAATCTGAAATACGGAATTTTGAAAGTGGGATACGGAATGTTTGATATGGAATGTGGGATCCGCAAAAATGTTACGTAATTGACCCCCGGAAGTTAAAAAAAGTTAAATCCTTGGCACTTGGAATTGTTATTTGCGATAATCCAATAATTTTCTCGTTCAATTTGTTCACAATATTATTAAAACAATTTATATAAAATGACACAATAACTTTACTGTAAATCTTTAATTATAATCTGTGATTCTATTACAATTATTCCGCGTGATAAAACGATGTTACAATTAGGACCGTTAAATGCAACGGATCGCTTCGCTCTGAGCATCTTTTTTTTGCCGGTATAGGAGAATTCATACCGCGGGATCATTCAAATCCTTATGGTCATTTGCATTCTTGACGCCTTTGCGACAATTACTGCGTGTCAAGAATGAATTTTTAAAATACATTAATCAATAGAAAAGATATTTATGAAAGTTTTATTTATTTTTTTTTTTGATTGCAGGTGAAATTGTAGATATTGGACAGCTAAAAGCAGGACTTGGATAAACTCATCAATTGAGTCCAAGAGATCAAAAGGGAGACTTCTTCCCTTGTGACATATATCAGTGATTTTCGTTGGCAGTGTATATAGGTTTATTAGAATGAGGTTGTGTGGGTTACCAGTGCTCATAAGTGAATCATTAGCATAACGAAGTTACAAAGTGATCCGTTATAGTAGGGGAACACAGGTGGCTCGGTAAGGGAAAGTTCACCGTTTGAGTTTCCCAACAAGTAACAAGGAGATAGTATACATATATATATATATAGAGTAGATGGTGTCATCGTTTCGCGAATGGTGCTAATGTGAGAGTAAAGGAAAAGGAGTATAAGTTCGGGAGGGGTGGCTCAGGGCGCGGTATGGTGGTTGCCTACAAATGCTGCCATGCTCGAGCGATGCCAGCCGGCGGCCTGGACGTGGCCCCCGCTGGACCAGAGAATCCTGAGGATGCGTTGCAACAGTCTTGTCTACTCTCTTGGCAAGATAGGCTTTCTATTACTTGCCACCATTATATCCAGTACCCATACAACCAGATACGCATCCAGAATTGTCGAGACCAGAAGTGGACAAATTCGAGGAGTTCTACAAGTTAGTATAACATTTTAATTTTTTTTTTTTAATTATATTCTTCCTAAGATTAGTTTTCCAAGTAATCAAAATTAAATTAACTTTTTTAAGATCGAATTATTTTGATTAAACAAAACTGATTAAAAATTGCTGTCTCATTTAAAGGAAATGCCAGTGCAATCTGCATAGTTGAAAACAAAAAAAAAAGGAGACCTACATTTAAACGCTTCTTTCCTTTTTTTTTACTGAACAGCTTCTGGCAGACTCATTAAACTTTAGTAAAAAGATACTTTCTCTCTCCCGGAAAATTAAATTAGATAACCGTCAGTGAGTAAATTTTAATACCCAAAGGATGCTGTTGTTGATGTAAAAAGAAAATATAATGTAGGTAAATAAAGATTTATTTCCTAATGGAATGAAGAAAAATATCATTTCGTTCAATGAATTGATATATATATATATATATAGAAAATGACATTTTCCGTAATTAGCAACACGATCGGTGTGGTGCGTTCATATAAAGTTAGTGCGCGACGCCGCTTTTACTACGTGAATATCAATTAGACGTAATTGATGTCGGGCCGTATCCGTCAAATACATTTCACGATTTGATTGAATGAAAGAGAATGCTTTTAGTTTGCACCATCCAGTTACTGCGGTAATGCCAATAGGTATAGTTTTCCGTGGCTAGGGCCGAGCCGTATAGACCAACAACTCGCGTAACGCCACGTGCTCGCAATTATTGTAAATACATCACTCTCTACTGCCTTGGCTTGATTCATTACCGTTCTAGTGGAACAAACAAAAAAAAAAATGCAAATTCACTCAATTTGACAAATCACTACACATTTTCTAGACAAGTGGAATTTTTATTTCCCCAAAAATTCCACAAGATTTATTAATTTCCATATTTCACTTTATATATATATATATATATTGTTTGATCGAAATTTACTTGCATTTCAATATTAGTCAAACTTCGCTTTTAAATAAAGTTCCATGTTAAATTTCTGGTATAGTGTAAATTCAATTTCATTAGATAATTTGTTTATCAAATTTAAGTATTTGAAAAGAACAAAATCACATTATATCTGGATATGCATTGTATAATTAAAATTAACAAGCTTGATATACTGTTACGTCTCAAAAATAGAGAAATAACTGAAAAAACAAAATTTATATTCATTTCGTCCGCTTTGAAATAAATAAAATATAATTTACTATAATTTTATTGTTTATTAAAGTAAAAATTAATGGTCAAGGTGAAATAATTGTCAAATTATTATATTTTGTGATATTATAAAGATTTTAAGAAATTAAATTCAGTTAGAATGAAATGATTGACAGCTAGACAATAGCATTGATCTCTATAAACATTACCAACGAAAATAGAAAACGAGGAATCGCTCTGTCCTTAGCAAAATAATTTGAATATTATTAGTTAACAAAAATAAGATGCCGTATGCCACATTCCTGAACCAATTTCAAATTATTTTATTCCAGATTCCACATACCGATCCCATTTTTAAAATTCTCTATTCAAGATTCCACATTCCAGATTTCACATTGCATATTCCACTTTTCAAATTCCGTATTTCGGATTCCACCTTTCACATTCTGTATTTCGAATTCCACTTTCAAAATTCCGTATTTCAGATTCCACATTCCAGATCCCATTTTCAAAATTCTCTAATCAAGATTCCACATTCCAAATTTCACATTTCGTATTCCACTTTTCGAATTCCGTATTCCACCTTTTACATTCTGTATTTCGACTTCCACTTTCGAAATTCCGTATTTCAGATTCCACAATCCGGATCCCATTTTCAAATTTCTCTACTCGAGATTCCACATTCCGTATTCCACTTTTCAAATTCCGGATTCCACCTTTCACATTCTGTATTTCGAATTCCACTTTCAAAATTCCGTATTTCAGATTCCACATTCCAGATCCCATTTTCAAAATTCTCTATTCGAGATTCCACATTCCGTATTCCACTTTTCAAATTCCGGATTCCACCTTTCACATTCTGTATTTCGAATTCCACTTTCAAAATTCCGTATTTCAGATTCCACATTCCAGATCCCATTTTCAAAATTCTCTATTCGAGATTCCACATTTCAGATTTCACATTTCGTATTCCACTTTTCGAATTCCGTAGTCCACCTTTTACATTCTGTATTTAAAATTCCACTTTCAAAATTCCGTATTTCAGATTCCACATTTCGGATCCCATTTTCAAAATTCTCTATTCGAGATTCCACATTCCGTATTCCACTTTTCAAATTCCGGATTCCACCTTTCACATTCTGTATTTCGAATTCCACTTTCAAAATTCCGTATTTCAGATTCCACATTCCAGATCCCATTTTCAAAATTCTCTATTCGAGATTCCACATTCCGTATTCCACTTTTCAAATTCCGGATTCCACCTTTCACATTCTGTATTTCGGATTCCACTTTCAAAATTCCGTATTTCAGATTCCACATTCCAGATCCCATTTTCAAAATTCTCTATTCCAGATTCCACATTCCGTATTCCACTTTTCAAATTCCGGATTCCACCTTTCACATTCTGTATTTCGGATTCCACTTTCAAAATTCCGTATTTCAGATTCCACATTCCAGATCCCATTTTCGAAATTCTCTATTCGAGATTCCACATTCCGTATTCCACTTTTTAAATTCCGGATTCCACCTTTCACATTCTGTATTTCGAATTCCACTTTCAAAATTCCGTATTTCAGATTCCACATTCCAGATCCCATTTTCAAAATTCTCTATTCCAGATTCCACATTCCAGATTTCACATTTCGTATTCCACTTTTCGAATTCCGTAGTCCACCTTTTACATTCTGTATTTAAAATTCCACTTTCGAAATTCCGTATTTCAGATTCCACATTTCGGATCCCATTTTCAAAATTCTCTATTCGAGATTCCACATTCCGTATTCCACTTTTCAAATTCCGGATTCCACCTTTCACATTCTGTATTTCGAATTCCACTTTCAAAATTCCGTATTTCAGATTCCACATTCCAGATCCCATTTTCAAAATTCTCTATTCCAGATTCCACATTCCAGATTTCACATTTCGTATTCCACTTTTCGAATTCCGTAGTCCACCTTTTACATTCTGTATTTAAAATTCCACTTTCAAAATTCCGTATTTCAGATTCCACATTTCGGATCCCATTTTTAAAATTCTCTATTTGAGATTCCGTATTCCACTTTTCAAATTCCGGATTTCACATTTTACATTTCGGATTCCAATTTATACATGCCGGATTCCACATCTCACATTCTGAAAGTGGAATCCGGAATGTGGAAAATGCATTCCGCAATGTGAGATCTGGAAAAGTGTGATCCGGAATGTGTAAATCGGAATATGGAATCCGGAATGTGAAATGTGGGATGCGTAATGTGAAATCCGGAATTTAAAATATGGAATCTGAAATACAGAATTTTGAAAGTGAGATCAAAAATGTGGAATTCAGAATACGCAATGTGAAAAGTGGAATTCTGAATGCGGAATGTGAGAATTGAAATCCGGAATGTGAAATGTGGTATCTGGTATTGTGGAATTAAAATCCGGAATGTTTAAGCCGGAATATGGATTCCGAAATGTGAAAAGTAGAATCCGGAATGTGGAATCCGGAAAAAGTTATGTAATTGACCACCTGTTAACGGAGAACCTCTTCTTTTATGCAATCATGGAAATTCTTTTTAGTCCAACGAATATGAACTTGGTCAGAGTAAAAGTACTTGCAATCTTAAAAAATTCGTATAAAATGATGATGATTATCTAAATTTGAACTGACTTCTCTTATCATATGTGGTCCTATTTATATAGGATTTTCAGAAAAGGGGAAGAAAAATTCTCAGGTTGCATCTTTTCCACCCTCTCAAAAAAGAATGACCACCTGAGGAAATCGTTTCCAGTTCCTCGACTTGATTACTCTACCTTACTTTTTTATTTCATTTTTGTTTAAGCTCGCTTGCTTCAACCATTGTTTTAATAATTCAATTATTTCACTAAGCTCCCACAGTCACGAAATCAGTACAAAGCTAAGAGATACACCTTCCAGGCGAACAAAGATTTCTTCAATGCAAAGAATTCGAATGAATGAATTAATCTGTTAAAAAATCATTTCTAATTAATATATTAAATATTTTTCCTTGATAGTTATCAAAAAATTTATTCAGAGAGTAAAGAATTATCTTCAATCTTCATATTAGTCCAATGGAAGATTTTAAATGTTTTTAGAAATTCCTAGGAATAAGATTAATGTTCATTAATTAATTAATCTGAATCTGGAGATCAGTTTTCTTTGAAGTGTGACAGTGTGAACACTTCAGGAAGTCCAGCAAGTAAATCTTCCTTTTGCTTTACAAATATGATAAATATAATTGCAATTAATTAATAAATTAACTTGAGATACATTCAAGAAGACCATATTAAAATAGTTCTTTTTTAGGAAAATGATCCATCATCCAGAAGTCAAATACAACTCAATTTTTCAAATGTTTGGAAATTTTATCAATGTTCATTGATATTAAATTTAAAGCTGAAATTCCATTATATCGTGTTCCACAAATAGGTCGCCTTTCAAATCAATTATGTTTCAGATATGTTTGCCTGATTTGAACCAAATTTTCCCAGACGTGATTCAAATCTGGATAGTGTTTCATTTGCTGCTACCGAACGTTGCGTTATCCTATATAGACATATGCTTGTACTGTATACAAAATCGAATTAACGTTTGTACATGTCTTTTTTTCTTTATACTCAAAAATTTAGGAATTATTTTAAGTCTATTTAAATTGTTCTCATATACTATTAGAAATATGGGATAATTATTTGCAAAGCCAACTTCATAATAACTATATTGTAAAATTCATGATAGGTAATACTTGAAAATCAAATAATCGTAGATTTTGGAAACGTGAGAGTTTTCGTAGATAAACTATACACAAGGAAGTCGATGAATATTCTCTTGAGGAAATTACATTAAACTTAA